AACCCAACTCAACCCTGGAGAATTTAGGACAAAGGCTCCTTGGATCAAGCTCAACCTTAGGAGTTAGTCCACCTAGAGTTTTTCGAGTAAGATAGAAGTGCTTTACCACAGGGCTCTCCAAACTTAGCAACTTTAAGACTTCAACTCCCAGAATTCCCCAGCCAGCATGTGGACTTCAACTCCCAGAATTGTCTGGCTGGCTGGCTGGGAATCCTGGGAGTTGAAGTCCACAAGTCTCAAAATGGCCAAGTTTTAGAGATCCCTGCTTTACGGTTTCATCTGGGAATTTTTTCCCCAATTGTCAGTCTAGTCTACGGCCTTGAGGGCTCTTTGAGTCTCTCATCCAAATTCTGTAATTTGCGTAAATTTGAGGGAACAGCAGTTGACGTCCACACATATTAGAGTTGCCAAATTTGGAAAGAAACCCCCCCCCCACTGATTTACATAATCTCCAGGCTGCAATGCCGGCTCAGGGGGACAAAGCCGGTTGTTTAAATGCTTCTTGAACTGCCAGGGGCTGTTTTGGGAGGGTTTGCTTTTGTATACCAGATTGAAGCAACTTTGTAAAGCCAAAAGACGATATGCAAATGGGTAAATGACTCAGAATGGAGCTTTGTGGGAAAGCACGAAGACAGGCATTTGCATCCAGAATTTGGCTTGGACAAAGACACCCCCAACGCCCCCCCCCCAATCCAGCCCTGCTTTTAGTTTGCTCACTGCTTCTGTGTGGCTGTCGCAACCCCCTTATAGAGATGGGGCTTGCATCAGCCCTCAGCCACACATTGCAGGGGGGAGTCCCCCCTTTCTTTTCCTGAACAGATGCAAGGTCACGTGAGGATACTGCAGAGTTGCTGAACTGCTTTTCCTTCCCAGAAAGAGAATTATTATTATTTTTTTTCCTGTCTGCCTGCATGCCAGAACTTACACTCCAGTAGACAGTTTGTCTTCCACTAGAGACGAATTCTCTGCTGCACATGCAAATCCAATTTAGAGGAGGGACGTTGTGCAATTTAGCTCCTTGTCTCCCTTTCTCCCCCCCCCCTTAAAATTGGTCTGCTTGGAGAAGCCACCCATAGAACAGCGCAAGCGGTTTAAACCTTTGGAAGTAGTTTTCAAGGAGACCCGATCCCAGAAGACTCGTGTAGAGCCTGTTGGCAAGAATAACCGGATCTGTGTGAAACCATCTGCGGGTGACTCTTTAGGTTCAAAGCTGCAGGAGAAGAATTGTCTAACTCACTTTGCATCTTGAGCGGGACGTAAAGGCAATCCAATTGACTCCAGCCCTGTGAAATGCTACAGGCTGGCTTACTTGGCTACAGGGCCAGGCTTGCTCTCCCATCACCCCGTTCGGTTCTCCTCTCTGGGGTGGGAAAAGACGCAGCCAGAGGGGAAGGTGTTCCTAGCCATAAAGGGAGTTGCCTGAAGCACTACGTGGAGCGCCGGAGTGTGATTTAGCTGGCGCCAATCTTGCAAATGAGGAAAAGCCTTGGCATTTTGTCTGTGGAGCTTCTCAGTCATCCAGGTCATGGTTGTCCCAAAGGTGCTTTTTCCCCCCCCCCAAAAGGCAACTGGACTTTCTCGGAGTTTTTTTTCCTTGAAAACATTTTGCTTCTCGTCCAAGGAGCTTCTTCAGTTCTATCTTCCATTCCTCTCCAGTCGGAACTGAAGAAGTTTCTTGGATGAGAAGCGAAACGTTTTCAAGGGGAAAAAAAAACCTAAGGAAGTCCAGTCGCCTTTTTGGGGGGGGGGAAAAGCACCTTTGGGACCTTTGCCTCTTCGTCCCCCGTCCAAATCTTGGGGCTTTCCCAGGGATGTTTTTCATCGCTGCCAGGTATATATATAAAAAAAAAGGCTCTTGAAAGCCTCAAAGCCCGGCTCATTTTATGCTCCACAAGGTCACAGTGGGATTGTTTTGAGTTTCTCTCTGCACGTCTCCCCTTCCCCGTTTCCCCCCTTCCTTCCCTGCCCCCAAGGCCAGGTCTGCATTTCTTCCCAGCTGAGTCTCAAAAGTCGCCTTGGCACGCCAGGACCACGAGACAAGCCGGGTTGTCGCCTGCATTGATTTAGCAAACCCTGCCAAGGTGGCGTAAACCGCTGGCACTGGTTGCCCTGGGCAGTGGCAAAAGGGGAAGCTGCCTCTTGGGGCCCAGGACTGGGGCAGCAGTGGGGAAGACGAGCCTCCCTCCCTCTTGGGCAAAGACCAGGAGCTCTTGTGCTGGGTGAGGCAGCCCCACCTTATCCGTGGGAATCCAGGCAGCAGCGGCCACAGTGCCCAGGGGCCTTTCCCAACCTTGTGCAAGTCCTGCAGGCTTTCAAGCTGGCTGAAGAATTTGTGGTTAGCCCAGCAGAGACGGAGGCTCTTTGTACTTGTGGTCCTGGCCTCCGCAACGGGAATAATAAGGCCCCGTGTTGTCTGCCAGCCGGCTTTGCCTGCCACACCTTTTCTATAGGGAAGTGCGTGGGGAAATTAGTTTATTGCCCCATAAACAGAGAGAGCCCCATCTTGCATTTCCTGCCGTTACATGAATGGGGTGTGCTGTGCCACCTGGACAGCAGGGAGAAATGCTGGGGGAAAAGCAAGAGGTGCAACCCGGGCAGCGTCTGCCGATGGGACCAGGAAAGCATCTTCTTGACTCCTTGAGTGGTGGTGATGGACCAGCCCAGATGTTCTCCGTCACTATGGGTTCATCTCCCACCAGCCTCCACTTGTGGGGTTGTAATCCCCAATGTCGGGGGCCTAGGTTGCTTATCCTGCTGTGTTTCCTTTCACACCAACAGCCTGGCAAGGATGTGTTATCCTGAGGACATATGTGCCCGTTTTGTCATATGTGCCAGTCATCCAGGAATCTGCTCTGATTTGCTCTTTGCTTTCCTGCCCCACTTTGGCCTGTGAGTCGCTTCTGAAGGGAAGAGTGGCAGAGACACAATGAGAAGCTCTTGCAAGGTCGGCCAGACTACTATCTACTATCTATGAAGGGAGGGGCCGTCTTCTCTCTCTCCCACCTACCAGACCTTCCAAGTTCCGCTGTCTCTTTGCCTCCTGGGAATCCAGACTACATTCCACCCCAGCTTCAGACCAAGCCTTTTAACCTTCCCTGGTTGTCTTTCATCTGGCAGGTTCCCTCAACTGCTCTTGTGGCTCCCTCCACGCCGACGTCAATCATCTCCCTTAATAGCCTCTTTCTGCCGACTTGCACAGATGCGATCTAAAAATGAGTCTCCCGGGTATGAAATGGGGCAGCGACGCTATTTCTGTTCTCTTCTCCCTCTCCCTAAATGCCTCCATATTCTCATTAAAAGGGCATGTTGCCACTGGCTGCAGTTTTGGCCACTTAAGGGTTGCAAGCGGTATGGAGCTTGTCAAATCTGGTTTGGTTAATTTTAGAGAAGAGTAGAGTCAAAGAGGCAGTTGAGCCTGGCACCCTGGCAGGACCCTCCTGGCCCGTTTAGGCACCAGTTGTGGAGTTCCCAGAGTGCTTCTGGATATCTGGTTGAGTCTATTAGCGGAAGGCTGGGGACACCAAGCTGGCATATAAACAGAGAAGGCCATTTTGGACAAGAGGTATTGTCCACTAAGACCATGTCTTCTTCTGGGCTCATCAACTATGATGGGGCCAAAATAACTATAATGAGGACAGGATTTCTACACATCAACAAGGGCTGGGAAATGTAATGGATGACTTCATGGCGCCTTGGATTGGGATCGTCATCTGTGATCTATAGATGATTTGGTGGAGATGGCTCTGTGCTGCAGCTCTCAATGACTAACTTGGCTTCATTCATCCCCCTAAACCATAATTTGTCGGTCATGATCAACCAAAAGGACCTAGGTTGACACACAGGCTGAGCCGAAATCCAGCAAACTAAACCACATGGTGGATTTGCACAATGTGTGAACCTGTCAAGTTCCCACAATCACTTGATCTCAGAGATTGACAGCATTTTCTGTCTGGGTGACATGACACTCTCCCAGAACTCTCCTTGGCTTCTACTGGCACGTGGGCGCAAGAAGGGATGGGGCCCAGGATGGCTTTCGGGTCTTGGATAATGGACCTCTTTGAAGGGGAGATGTTGGTTGGTTCTGCAGTTGTCCTCTTTTTCTTATGCTCTTGAGCTGGCTGGCCAGCCTGGATCAGACAGTGCCAGACTGGTGGTGAATGGGAGAAAGCTCCTTTGATGGGGGTGGGTCCCCCTCCATTTCTTTCATCTTTCTGCCCTTCCGTGAATTAATGGAATGTAGAGTTTTGAAAAGGACAAAGAGTTGAGCTCACTGTTGGGGCTGCAGAGGCATGTGATGGACTCGCTGGAGAGGCAGGCAGCGACACTTGAGGGCTCCTTCCTTGGAGGAGGAGGGCCAGGCAATAACCCCCCCCCAACTAGGACAAATGCAGGGCCTTAAGATCAAAGGACGTAAAATCCTGCTTCTGCCAAAGGCTCCTTGCAAGTAAAATAAACGCTGCAAGAATCTTGAAAGGACCTTCAAAAAACACCAGCTTCCCTTTCCCGTGTTTTCCTGGGCTGCTTCCGCTGTTTTTGATTTCAGATATTGGGTGGGGGGCTGCTCCTGATGCACAGGCAGGCGAGAGGACTCCAAGGAAAACATATTTCGGGTTTGCTTTGAGTCCCGTAGGGTGTGATGTTCAGAACCGGTTGGTGTCTTTTTCTGCACGCAACCAGCGAGCAATTAGATGCTCCTCATCTCTGCATGGTTTCGTTTCAAATTGTGTCTTGGGCTGTATGCAATTCCAAAGGTCCAGTTACCTATTTTAAATCTTACTCTTAGCTGTGCGTATGAAAACGGCAGTTCTAGGGCTTATGAGCAGGTGGTCTGTTGGAGAGAACTTTTTCTCCCATTCCAGTTAAGCAGATCCTGGGCGTCCTGCCCCCAGGGCCACTGTAACACATTTTGGCTCCCTTAGTTTTACACCCTCCACCTTCTCACCCCATTTGCAGCAGGGGGAAGGATCTTACCGCTGACTCACCTTCCTTCATTCCCACAGGTGATGTCCACAACCTCAGCCCTGAATATTCCTTTGATGGCACCAACACAAAGGTCGGCAACATTGTTCTGGCCTTGTACAGCGGCCTCTTTGCCTATGGAGGATGGTGAGTTGTGGGGCAGGTGAACGTTGCCCTTGGGTTTGCCCCTCTGTGTTCCATCAAGGACAAGGAGTCCCAGGGCGAGGAGAGCTTGTGATCTTCAGATCTTCTGATCTGGGGAGCCCTGTTGGTTTGTGTGTGTGTGAGAGAAAGAGTTTTCCTAGGTTGCCACATTGTTCTCATTATTCTACAAAGTCAGGAGGACTTCCCCCCCCCCCCATCCCAACTCTGTATTGTAAACTTAAGAACCTCTTTCCTTTCTCCCCATCTTTCAAACTGCAGGAATTACTTGAACTTTGTCACAGAAGAGATGATTAACCCTTATAGGTAAGAGTCTCCAAAACCTGATTTTGCATTGTTTTCTCTGCACTGTTGGCGGGAAGAAAGACGGCCTCTGCAGACTTTCTGGCTGTTGTGACTGCAGAAGCAACCGGGAGAGCTGTAAACGTTCAGAGATGTTCCTAGCTCTGCTTGTGAAACGGCCTTTCCCGTCTCCTTTCAGAAACCTCCCTCTGGCCATCATCATTTCGTTGCCCATCGTCACCTTGGTCTACGTGCTGACCAACCTGGCTTACTTCACCACCTTGACCGTCAACGAGATGCTGGTGTCAGAAGCCGTTGCCGTGGTAAAATGCAATAACAGACACGCAGGAAGGGATGCTCAAGAATCGCTTCTCTGGCTTTGCCATTTTTCCCTGTGGGCCGTTTGAGTGCAGCCCGCTTCTTCCAGCGTCTTCCTTTTATTCATGTGAACCGTCCTTTTTCCGGGTTTGGTGTTCACTGCCCATCCTGTCCAATAATCCTATGAAATATTTATCTATAATTCTCCCTCCCCCTGTGGGAAAACCCAGAGAGCCTCACTGCAGGGCAGAATTTGAACAGGCATTTTCAGGGTTCCATTTTCCCCTGTTGGGTGGCAGATCAAGTTTCGCTCCCTTCGCGTCCCCCCCTGCCATTCGCTTAGGCTTCCAGGAGTTTTCCAGGTGAAATGTTTGACCTCCTGTCTTCCTCCCTATTTGCCAATAGGATTTTGGAAATTACCACCTGGGTGTCATGTCTTGGATTATCCCCGTGTTTGTGGGCTTGTCCTGCTTTGGCTCCGTCAACGGTTCCCTTTTCACTTCGTCCCGGTAAGTTTCTACTATAGAATGAGCATAAAACCATCTCTCCAGAAATGGAAGCTGATCTTAATGCATATTTTGCCCTGCAGTATAAAATTCTGGAAAACTTGCAATTGGATGGATGGATGGATAGACAGGCAGATATCTAATCCCCTCCTCACACCAAAGTATGCTAGTTGGATTGCAATATATACTTACATTTTACAAGTAAACGTATTTTGCGGCCCCTGATCTGTTGCTCTTTAAAAGAAGCATGAAGACCAAACTCTTCTCCAGGCCTTTGAGGAGCAGTTGTGAGACCTCCCCCCTCCCCCTTCGTTCTGTCCGCCTTTGATCTTTCTTCCTTTTAATGAGTCTTGCTGTAACCCTTATTTTGGCTGTTGAGAGCTGCCCAGAGTTGTCGGGAGCCGGGCCTAAGTAAATGAACAATACCCTTTCATCGGTGGCTCCTTCTGCCTGCAGAAGTGGTCTGACTAGCTCAGCTGCCCAGTCCAAGAAATTTGCCCCCCCCCATCCCCACCCCCTTGTTGACGGTCTTCCTAAACAAACCACATGAAGTAGGATTGGCCTGACCCCCCCCCCTCCAACAAGCCTTGTAAGCGGCACAAGGCAACTTCCAACATCCCCCGATAACCTTAAATTCATCTGCCGAAAGAGTGTAAGTTAACATTTTAATTTAATCTCTTTTAGGCTTTTCTTCGTAGGTGCTCGGGAAGGCCACCTGCCTTCTGTCCTGTCCATGATCCACCCCCGGCTACTCACCCCCGTGCCCTCCCTTGTCTTCACGGTAAGGATGCTCACACGAGGGTAGAGTTTCCTTTGGGGGGGGTGGCAGTATGTGTGTGTGTTTGTATTTGTGTCTGTGTGTATGGGGGGAAATCCCATCTCAGTGCTTTTGCATTAAAACTAGTTGTCCGATTTAGTAACTTTGGTAAGCATTTAGTCCTGAACAATAACTGCACACCTGCTGAGTTGTGTGGAGTTGTGTGAGTTTTGGAAGCCTGCAAGCTGGTGCTGTTTTGAGGGTGCGAAGGGTGCTCCAGAATTTCTGGGCCCTTCTCCTTCCCTTGATGGGCGCAAACAAACCGCACATCATATTTTGAATGCAACCCTCTCATGTTCTCCTTGGTGCACATCAGTTCTCTGGGGGTCCACCTGTTCTCCAAAGCACCTGAAGGCAGGACAAGAAGCAACGGATGGAAACTAATTAAAGGATTAGAACCAACCTAGAACTAAGGAGAAACTTCCTGACAGTGAGAACAATTAATCAATGGAACGACTTGTCTCCAGAAGCTGTAGGTGTTCCATCACTGGAGGCTTTTAAGAAGAGACCGGACAGCCACTTGTCTGGAATGGTACAGGGTTTCCTGCTTGAACGTTGGACTAGAAGACCTCCAAGGTCCCTTCCAACTGTTATTCCTGCCCTTCTATGGGGCTCTGGTGTTCGTCTTTCTGCTCTTGTGCCCCATTCCAAGCTCAGAACCACAGCCCTCACTCCGATGGTCGATATCCACTGTTTGCAACAATCCCATCCCCACGTTTGCTGAGTCTCTGAGGACAAAGCGAGCGTTGGTTGAAGTGCGGGTTCTCTGAAGCAGTTTTCTCCCAGCTCCCACGTGGCACTGATTTCTCTCCTCGCCCCTTCTCCCCCCCCCGACCATCTCTAGTGCATCATGACTTTGCTCTACGCCTTCTCCAACGACATCTTCTCCGTGATCAACTTCTTCAGCTTCTTCAACTGGCTCTGTGTGGCCCTGGCCATCATCGGCATGATGTGGCTCCGTTACAAGAAACCGGAGCTGGAGAGGCCCATCAAGGTGAGCTTGGCCGATGTTGAAAAGGGAGCTTCTGCGACCGATTCTGCAAGTGACCGGCTTAAAGGGCCGTCGGGGGATCCAGATTTTCAGTCCCGGAGCTGGTCCAGGTCTGAGGATCCATGGGACCAGTTGCATCTCTAGACACAAATCTGGTGGGTCTTTGGATTGAAGGGCTCTCAAGTTGTTCCCTTCCTGCTTCCAACGTTCTTGGCCTTCCTTGTCTTCTCACGTGCAGGTTAATATCTTGTTGCCCGTTTTCTTCATCCTTGCGTGCAACTTCCTCATTGTTGTCTCCTTCTGGATGACCCCGAAAGAGTGTGCCATCGGCTTCGCCATCATCTTCAGCGGAGTCCCAGTTTACCTGATCGGGGTCTGGTGGAAAAACAAACCTAAGTGGCTTCTGCAAAGCATCTGTGAGTACAAGTTGTGTCAGTTTCCAGGGGCTGTTTTGGGTGGAAGAAGCGCACGCGGGACTGTCATCCACAGGTCTTCTATGCAGCAGAGATGGGGTAGCCTTTCCACCGAGTTTGAGCCTCCCTTTTGGTGCCACGAGAACATAAAAAATGGCCGGAGAAGGCTATGTTGGATCTTCAGCAACCATGCCTGGGCAGCGCTGCCCGACTTTTAGATATCTGGAAGCAGGGAGGAGAAAGGCAGGACGGGACATGATTGGGAGGGGCACCAGCCACTTCCCCCAGCCAAGTTGTGTGGGTGTCCACACCCTGGTGTCTCTGGAAAGGAGCAGCCGGGCGTGCTCGGACTCGGCAGAGCTGATGCCAAACTCAGTCTGCAGGGGTTAGGGCCATCTTGATGGTAACTGTGGGAACGGAAGCTGGGACAGGTTGAAGCTGGATTTTGGCATGTCCCCCATGCTGAAACCGACCTCAGACTCAATTTTACCAATAGAAGAGAATAGTTGTAGCTCAGGGTTGACACAAGGAGTCCTTGGTGCTCTCTGAGCTTGCTTGTTTTCTTGCAGACATTTCATTACCCAACTGGGTAACATCATCAGTGTTAGCAGCGATGATGCTACCTAAGTGAGTAGTGAAACATTTGCAAGAAAACAGCCAAGCTCAGAGAGCACCGAGGACCCCATAAACCCCATTTTTACAATTTTACACATTTGTGGATCCAGTAACTTCAGAGGGATCCATGTTTCTGTTGGGGACAGAGAGCCCCTAAAATTATCCAAGTGATTTCTTGACTGTGGATGCTTCTGCCACCCATCAGTTTCTTCTTGTTCAAGGAATTAGCCACCCTTCTATTGCTTTTATTATCCTGCAAAGTCCAGTTTGGAGGGAGAATAGGCCGGTGGATGAAATTATTCCAAGGGCCTGGATGGAAATTTTGCCAGGATTTTAATTGGAATCTTCTGGTCCTGGTGCCTTGAGTAATTTCCCAAACCCTTCCCCCCCACCTTTTGGTCTACCCACAAGGCACCAGTCAGTGTAGCCAAAACTAATTTTCTAGGAATGTACAATGAATCCCCACCCCACCCCAGGATTCCTGGGTGCAGAAGTCCTCCTCAAGTTGTTGTTTGGCATATGACAAAAGGAAATGCTTAAATCCAAACAGGGACACTACTTGCACAATTCATTTGTTTAGAACAACTTTTAAATTGTGTTTTGTAAACTGTCGTGGTTCCATCCTCTTTGGGGGGGTGGAGAACACCTGATAGAGGTGGTGCGATTTTTCTAGTGGCGTAAACATCTTTCTTTGTGTTATGGGTGACCAATTTAGGCATGGCAGCGACCTCAAAAGCTCATTCTGGTCATGTAAACTTCCTCTGTTTCGTTTCTCACTAACAGATTCCACCACAGTCCTGTTCCAGAAGCTGATGGAAGTGGTTCCTCAACAGTCTTAAGAAGGAGGCAAATCCATTGATCTTTAGTTTAAGCCAACGCACAACATTGTTTTTGAAACTTACGTATGTCTGATTCCTCCCTGGAAAAACGGAAACTGCAGAGACAGCCCAGAGACCTCTTGGGACCTCTGCCCACCTCTAATCCTGCTGAGGCCTTCTCCAACTCAGATCATGGCAATTGAGAAGGTGCTGGAGGAAAAGACGATCCCAGGTGCAAATTTTAAAATTGGGAAGAGGAGGTCGCTTAGAAGAGAAGAGAGGCCTCCACCCAAATCGAGAAAATGTGGAAGCCCACAAGGACATTTTGTTTACATGCTCAACTAGGGACTTCATTTAGTTTCTCCACCAGCTGTCCCAACGTTGGCAGAAAAAGAGGAAAAAAATGCAGGCAGTGGATGAGGTCCAGCAATGTAGAGTGTTCCTCAAAAGACGCCTGCCGACACCGAACACTCCTTGCCAATAAAGGGGGCCCTGCTGAAGAAGACAACCCCACAACTGACAGCAGACTTAACGGCTGAGCGGCCCCCACCTCAGCTCTTCTCATTCTCAGTGGACTAAGTGGTTCTGACATGAGTATATTTTTTAAATTGTTTAGTTTTTTTTTAGTGACATCCTTTTTTTTAAGCTTTCTTCTCCTTAGGACTCCCACGTGGCCACCTTGCGCCGATTTCCCGTAAGGGGTTTTGTACAGCTTTAATTGGAATCCTGACAAATTCCTCCGTTTGAGTCAGGTTGAAATTTCTAGGCACTCCTCAAAGCATGATGGATTCGTGCAACAGTCTCTAGAGCAAAACTTCTCAATTTGGGCCACTTTAAGCCGTATGGACTTCAACTCCCAGAATTCCTGGCTGGGGAATTCTGGCAATTGAAGTCCATATGGCTTAAAGTGCCCCACGTTGAGAAAAATTGCTCTAAAGCAACTGAATTTGCCAGTTGGGGGAACACCTTGACGTTGGAAAGTTTTCTTACTTGCCAGCCTCGTTTGAACCCTCATTTTCTACCAGCATTCAGTGGTTCTACAAAACATGTTCCATTTTTGTTTTCTCGCTGTGCAGAATGCCGTTCATTACAGCACCATAAATGTATTCTTAAGAAGGGGACTGGAAGTTACTATCCTGTGCAGTGGATGACATGGGAAGCTTAAGACAGGGAAGGCTACCAAGTGGGAACAAGCAGAACATCAGTGTTCTGTGTGTGTCTGTGTGTCGGTTTGTTTATGCACGTGTGTCTAGTTCTGTGGCACTTTTCTTGATGTGTAGCTATGCTCTAAAACATGCAGCTAGACTTTGGCATAGCAAGCGAGAGGGTGGGCTTCTGAGTTTTAGAGCAAAGAATTGAAACTAGCACTCGTGTGATTGATTGTCTGTTATGGCTCTCTCGTGGGACCACATTGCTTAGAATTGGGTGGGATGTTTTGACTCATGGGATCTGTTTTTCCTTCTCTTCCATTCTTGGGGAATGTCTGGTCTGGAAAGTTTGGTTGCTCTGGAGCAGGGGTGGTCAACCTTGGCAACTTTAAAACCTGTGGAATTCAACTCTCAGAATGTCTGGCCTCCCAGATGTGTGGACTTCAATTCCCAGAATTCCCCAGCCAGCCACTGAAGTTGATGAGTTGAAGTCCACACATCTGGGAGGCCAGACATTCTGGCAGCTGAAGTCCACAAGTCTTAAAAGTAGCCAAGTTTGGACACTCCTGATTTAGACTTGAACCGTGAAAGCTTTCAGCCAGCATGAGAGCAGAAACCCAGATGGACAGCACCTCCGTGGAATAAAACATACACATCCAAACTTTCTATTGTAAGACAGGATGCAAGAAGTGGTTTTCCTTTGTTTTGCTTGCAAGATGCTAATCTTTGCAAGGTTATGTGCATTGTTTTCTTCACGGAGTTGTGTACATTGTGGTTATCTAAACATGGAAACAGGCAAAATAATTTGGCTGAAGTCGAGTGGGGAGAATAGTCGAGGGTAGCCCATCTGTCAGTTGTGATGCCAACAAATGCGGAGTCTAAAAACCCAGACGCCACAATGTTGAACATCAGGGTGGGGGCATTTTTAACTCTGTCTGCCAGGGTTTCCAGAGTCCTCTGTGCAGCTGTTCCAAATACACCTCCCCTCTGTTGTCGGTTGCAAAACGATTTTTCTGCCTTTATTTCTTAATAGTAAGGAAATGGGCTGCCACTGTATTTACAATTTCCAAATAGCATGGCGGTTCAGAAATGCTGAAGTCATTGTGGTGGTCCTATTTTACGAAGAGGGACAATTCCACCGTCCTACAGCACATCTGGTGTTAAGTGCTCTTTTGTCCTGGGGACAGTATGGCACCCAGATCTCCTGTCCTCCACATGTGTTGCATTACAACACCCGTTGTCCCCCGCCCACCCAATTCACACTTTTTACAATGAGCCAAATAGCCGTTTCCCATCCAAATTGTGCACCTGCTGTGGGAACACACCCACACAGCCACGGATTTGAACATTATTCCACCCACCAATTTAGTATGCTAGGTGTTTTTTTCAGAAGGAAAAAAAATGTCCAGAAGGGCAGAAATGGGGAGTAGAGCCCCACAGGTGAGAACTGCAAAGAACGGTTGCCGTTCAGAGCTTTCCAACTCATTTTCTTCCCCAGGACCTGCCATTCTGCCTCACCCCAACTCATTTCCGTTGCTTTCCACTCGAGAATATTTGGCATTCTCTAGGTATTTATTTAGCACACTCAAGTTTTGTGGAGCCTTGTAGAATTGCTTTTGTCTTTCCCTCACCCCGTTCCTTTTGTTCTTAGCTGTGCCTTATTGTTTTTGGACTTCTGCAAAGTTTTGGCTTCAGTTGCGCTCACCGTTACCGGCTGAGCAGAGAGGTCAAACCTGACAGGCTGTGGCTTGGTAAAAGAAACCAACCGGCCAAACTGAGAACGGCTTTGCTTCGTTGTGCACTGCCCAGGTGTCCTTCGGCACGCTTTTCCTTTGAGCCACGTGGTCCAGTTCTGCACCCCTTTTATCCACTTTGTGCGTCTGCCTGGTTGACTGTCTAGTTGCTTGATGTGAAGCGCACCTCAAGAAAAGGCTAAAGGTGTAATTCAACGGGAGCCCAGCTAAGTTCATTAGTGTTGAGCCCCAAATCTCTCACTGGTTGGTCTTCTGAAACCGCAGGGCCCCAATGACTGAGGAGAAAGCTCCCAGCTGGTTCCTGAACAAAGGTGATGTTTCTTCAACTAGAGCAGAGGTGTCCAAGCTTGGCAACTATAACACCTGTGGGCATTGGCTGGCTGGAAAATTCTGGGAGTTGAAGTCCACAAGTCTTAAAAGTTGCCAAGATTGGACACCCCTGAACTAGAGTGGAATGGCCATCTAGGTAACCTTCGGGACCTCTTAAGAATTGTCTTCTTGATGGACCCAGAAAGACTACAAGCCTGGTAGCCCTTTTCAAGCTCAAAGACTTACGTGCTCGTGCAGGTGACTGGTCATGCTCCAAATAATTCTGCGGAGCAGGAAGCAAGCAGTGGTGCTTTTTGGAAGAATGCAAAAATCCAGGATTCGTGGCGTTCCAGACCCAGGTTTTCTAAGCCATTTGCTTGAAAAGTTCGTGCAGGTCTCCCTCTTCTTAGGCTGCGCCTCTGTTCTTAATCAGTTTTCTTTTTAATCCCTTGGAAGCAGATTAATTGCACAACGTTTGTACAGGCAACAGGGTTGTTATCTTTATAACTACTGAGTGAAATCTGACTCCTTAGAAATCTATATTTTCTTTTAATATAGTTTTTTTTTATAAAATAAAAAGAAATAACAAAGTCTTTAAGCTAAGGAAAAGAACATAATTTTAAAAAACTTTTTGTTACATTTGGAAAATAAATATTTTTACTAATTTAATTATTGTGCTATATTTTAAATGAGTATCAGTATAGAAAGTGCAGCTCTGTTATCTAATAATATTTGCATTTGTCCATATGGAGTTGATCCAAGATTTGTGTTGCTTTTTTATGAGTTCTGTAGTAAAAAGAGTCAATTCTGCCTTGTAAAAAGATGTGTGATACAGTCCAGTCTGTCTTTTTTACTGTGTCCCCCCCCCTCTTTTCTGGATTTGTTATTGTTCATTATAAACCATGGCTATTCCATTTTAAATATTCTGGTTTTTATTTGAACGAGGTTTTCTGAATTTCATGCTTGCTGTTCTGAGATGAGTATTTCTGGGTTCGCTCGTTTAGTGTGGATCTTGGCAAGGTGTTCTCCCAGGGAACATCCATTTCTGATTCTTTACCAGTCCGAAAAGAAAGAAAATCAGGATTATTTAGGCAGCTCTGTATGGGAGAGAAAAGGCTTCGTGCTGTGGGGATTCTGGGGGATTCTGGGAGTTGAAGTCCACAGGTCTTAAAATTGCCAAGGTTAGACACCCCTGGAATAAGCCCTATTTCGCCAGGGGTGCATAGTGCCACAGCACAGGTTTGCAAACCAGAATCTCCAGCTGTGTACAATTTTTGAATTTGCAAAATAGTTGAAAGATGCAGCTCTGCAATGCCAGGAAAACAACAACAAAGCGGTCTCAGCATGTGTGAATGCAGCCACTAGTTCTTTGCTTACACAGGTACTGCAGAAACAGAAGGTAAGTTTCCTTTCCCCAGGATAGTTACAGTATTGGCAAAGAATTTTTGCCTGCAAATGGAAAAAGGCAGACGTACAGATTTCAAAGCGGGAAGCGCTTAGTGTGCTTCAGAAATTGTGCATTGGTTTCTAGCAAGCTCAGCTTGTTTTTACGGCCCTGGAAATCCAAAAGGCTTTTTCCAAACCGTAATCCAAACATCGGAGCCGCTGATGGGAAGAATCTGCTGATAGGGTACAATTCCTGGCTGACAAATATCCGAGGGAGGTTTTCTTTGCTAGAACTGTATCCGGGCACATCTGACTCCAAAATGCCCACCTCAAAAGTGGCTGGCTGTGAAGACCTTGCTCTAATGTCTAGGTCTTTTTCAACAACCTCCAGCGTCCAGCACAAAAGGGACACAAGGAGCAAAGGACAAGAAAACGGAAAGTTGGTGCAATATTGCTACTCGCAGCTTTGGAAAATCCCCGCAGGTGGCATTTTGTGGGCAAACTCCTTCTTTAATTGTAATAGAGCCAGTCCTTGATGGTGCCGCTTGCTTTATTTTTTACTAAAATAATAATCCTGCATCCATCCATTAAACAGGAAGGAAAAGATAAGACTAGGATCCTCCCGGTAAGCTTTCTAAATCAAATTAACTTTGCTGTGGATATACCTAGCAATTTGCAAAATCCAGGATTCAGCTCATAATCACCTTTCTTAAGCACCACCTGCCTGAGACAAATTGCTATCCGTTTTTTTCCAGCTTCCCAGGTAAGTTCCAATCAGAAGATAAACACAACAGGAGGA